CCTATGGTCTCGTTAACAAAAATTTTCAACGAAATAAATGTTATGATTGTAGAACTATATTTAAGAGACTAACTGCTGTTTACTATGAAACATTTCTTGCTGTACAACGACTGACTACGTTTCGCCTCATATCTATGTAGATATCATTTTGAACAAAAAATTGGTGTATGTTATTTGATACAGGTTCGTCTTGTGTGATGGTGATTTCCATCGGTGATGAGAGAAACCAAACAGCCCCAGAACAGAATATTATAATATTACAGTGTCATACGATGAACAAACAAGTACACCTCAATTATCTCGAATTAGTTAAACAATATCTCGAAATCCCTTATATGATCACGTTCATGGTGTTATCAACTGGATCCACTTATGCCCGATCAAACATAAAATGTGGATCAGCAGATTCAATGCTCAAAATATTTCACATCTACACACCTTGTTACTGTATATGTGTAGCACCAAGATGTTTTCTTGCATTAGGACAAACCATTTGTCTCATGTTATATGTTGATGGATTGAGTATGACGTTTTTGTAGTGTTGCGTTCACTTGGAATGACTATTTTATTTGGATGTAAGCACTTTTTCTGTATAATGTAGTTTTATTATATTCAGTATGACTGTCTATCTTCACCTTTATCATACACATAACGTCACTTCTCTGTACAATATCTCATGGAAAAATAATTAGTAATGAACTAAAGCTTTATAACTAATGTAATCCAATACTTGTATTTAATTCTACAGGCCTTTTATGGGCGTATTGAATTATTGTCTGCCTGAGGAAGAATTGATCACAATTACGGATGACAAGTTGATCAATTTAATAAAGCGTGAGCTAGCTCATCTACTTGTGAGTACTTTTCAGTTTATGAAATATGGTATCCGTACTTTGACATACAGATAATCTTGTTTCGTCCAGCATTTAGTTAGTACGATGAGTAGTGCAGTTGTTTAATTAGTTTGATCACAAATTCATTTCTGTTGTGTTCTGTATCAACTGTGACAATTTGTGTAATTGCATTTGCACTTCTCACAATTTATTAATTATTACACAAGTTTCTCTGAACTAAATTAGCCAGATATGGAAACAATATTAAAACTACGTACTATCATTATGATGCTCATATAGTTTGTACATTATTTATATGAACTGCTCACCGTAAGAAACAATTTAAACCGATAAAAAGCTGAATTCTTTCGAATAGTGTACAGTCTAGCAGTAAAGACAGAAGATAATAAGCGATTTCTATATGGTGTATTATAAAATGTCGATATGTTGATTTAATGTATAAAACAATGTTTGAATTCACTGAAAAATCGAAATACCACAAAATTATCAGTATGGGTTGTGAAGATTATTATATTATTGATTGAGATTATGAACTGGTTGATGTTGGATGCCTGCACAGTGGTCTAGAGGTTAAGCGTTGGCGCGCGAGAACGCAGGTCGCGTGCTTGAATCCCATAAGCAGGGTGGTGGATGCGCACTATTGGCGATTCCCACAATAGGACGTACCGGCCGTCCAGTCCTTTCAGGTTTTCGATGGTGGTTTAACATCAATGGGCTCATGATATCAATCAAATAGTATAACACTTTTGTTTATAAAACAAGTATTATGGTTCATCTGAAGACTGTAATCGTTGAACACAAGTCGAATAAGAAATTGAATCACATTAATTTCTTATTTTATTTATAAGGGATTTCATCCTTCAATTTTTGGGTCGGAAAAGTTTATGTCAGCGAAAATTCCGTGAGTAATAATAAAAGTGGTTGTAAACTGTTGTTTTTATTATGTGTCAGCATGTGTTTAAATTTGTCCACATTTTAGCTTTACAGGGATATACGTAACTATTTATGTCGGTAGGTGGAAATTGAAAGTCGCAGTTCGAAACATAAAAAGGGTGCAAGCATAGAAATTTCAGAAAGTATAACAACACATGTTTCTGTATGCAGATTAACTTTGGGAACAAGCGTCCATTCACATGTTAATCCTTTTGTTCTCTATCTAAGAGATCAGTAGTTGATCGTTGATAAGAGCAACAATCAGGCTGATGTGTCGCGTGGGAATATTCGAGCATCAGAAAAAGAGTTTATGACATCTTATTCTACTCATTTCTCAGTTGGAATGCTAAACCTAATTAAATCTCCATTACATAGTGTCTGTTGAAACTATAGACCATTTTCTAATTCCTTTATGAATAAACAAAAATTGAACGATTAATGTAAATTCACCGTTTGATTTCTCATATCCTACTTCTTACAGCTTTGTCTGAGAGGTGGCTATGATAAAAATCCAAATACCAATTGAGCTAGACGAATATATTTCAGGCACTGATTTACTCAGACAGAAGTCAGTATGACAGGTTCGCGACGAAGCAAAGAGGGAAAGCATTCTAACTCCCTATGATAAAGACGTGATAGAAAATAACCTAATGACATGTGATGGATAACCTACTATACAAAGTTTTGAGTAGATAGCTGACAAGGTCAAAATATGTGTCCAATTTATGATCAAGAATAAACTACCTGGTTTGCCCAAAAGCCAGAATAATCCATGTGGAAGTCACAGGGTAACGGATCATATAAAATATACGTTTCTAATTAGCCAGTGCATGAAATTTACTTCTAGACATTAAAGATTTATTTTGAGTGGAGTAAGTGACAGTTCACAAAGTTCAATCTACATCACTGTATGTTTTTGTTCCAATCCCTAGATCTGTTCAAAACATAACGCTATCTTGGCTATCAACTAAAGGAACCTACAGAATACAAAAGAAAATTCTCAGTCTACCAAAGATGCTGGTACGTTGCATATTTATTTCGTATAAACAGAGAAGCATTTCTACTAAACTGCATCATGTCAACATCTGAAACGTAAATACTACCAAAGATCGTCATTCTCACTGAGTCCTTGAATATGACAATTTGGGAAAATGTTTTACTCCATTTGATGGATTCCTTTACTTTACTTTTCTTCACATTCTCTGTGACTTGAAATTCTACTTAGCCGAACTAAATTCAAAGAATTCTAGGTGACATGCATAAACATAGATTCCACGAGTAATATATATATATATATATATATATATATATACATAGCGCTTGTCGGATTTGTTCGACAATTCATATGAACTACATTTTAGATACAAAAAGCCATGTCCTAGGGTCTTTTCCTAATACATATACAAGCGTTGCTTTGCATTTGGTTTGATTTTTCTTTACAGTTGGTGTTAATTCAGTCCATTTGTATGTGATTTGGAAGCCCATGTCTTTAACATATTGGGGTTAATCTGTCGTAGAAACGTCATTAATTGGCTCAGTGAAATTTATGAGCTATTCTTGTGGAGTCAAACTGAGATTCGATGATCGAGAGAGCACAACACCTGTCAGTTCACTTCTGCTTCATTTCTAATAAATCTGTGTCTTGTTTGTTTGTTGGCATTGTGATCGTGTTATATAGGATGGAATGCAATGCAATAAACAACCCGTCGTTCGGTAATTATTAGACGAGGAATTACAATGGGTCATAACACGTTATTCACAGCCACAAATGTGATGAAATTATTTGAGAAATGTCAAAGCATGTACGGCATCATGAATTGTGATGCTTTCTAACTTCAGTAAGTAGGATAGCGTATGATTGTAAGAAATCAGAAAGTGAATTAGCCCTATCCGGCATACATTTGCAATTCGTCACAAGTATCATTCATACTTTCAAGATTTGCGAACAGGTTTTATATAAGTCATTGATTCAACTGGAATTCGGTGATAACGAAATTGATTGGAAAGTGTAGCAGTAGTTTGTAGAGGGTGGATGGAATATAGCCGGAAGTGGAATCCAGTGCAAGCATTTGCCAATCCAGACTGATCCAAATGCAGTGAAAATGACCATAGCATTATAATTCACACTAATGTCAATACAGTTAGAGTTAAGTAGTTGGTTTGTGGTGAATATTCAATCCGAAAACAACACGAATATTTCTAAATCACGCATCTGAACCAGATTCATCTGCAACTCGCTTCTTTCTTATGCCTCTTGTTTTAGTGCATCAATTACTAACTTGAGTTTACATTATGATGATTTTCGTTCATTATTAATTTACTTTTTATTGATAACGCCTAATGACACTTCACATCGTTTATCTGAATGAAGAAGGAAGCAAGAGAACATTTCGACTGCAGCCGACTACAAGGAATCGAGCTGGATGAAAACCATTTGAGTCACAGAGTAATGGGAGTGAGTTTGCTTATACCATAGATTTTTGAAGTTAGTTATTCATTCAGCAGAATAATCTGTCCTCTGAATACTGTTCATGTAGAACATGTTTGATTTTCCATATACAGAAAACGTTTGTATGCACACTGTTGTTTGAGTATGTAGAGAAGTAAAATATAACAAGTATCAACGTTGTTCTGAGTGCATTAAATGAAAGATAGTTTAACATGTAACATTGAAGTAGAAAACAAGTTAGACATTCACAGATTTCGTATGATGCTTCATAGATTGTTTGCAACATTTTTAAGTTTTTCAACACACTCGACTTAGCATTACGTAAATCAGATGTCACAAATCGGTAGCAAAGCATCATAAAATAAGAAATACTCCTAGTCTGATAAGTAATAACTTAGCATGTATTCAAAGCAATTCTTGTTGTCAAGTCAGAATAAAACCAACTGTAGTATCTATAAATGCATCAACACATGAATACCGTAAATCACTGAGGATTTTTGTTAATGCAATTTATTTTCAAAATACAATTAAAAGCGTCAATATTTACACAGCTTTTGGTACTGAATAGAAGCAGCACATAAAGATAAAACCATACACGTTTTGTAAATAAATAAATGACCGATAGGACGACAGTTTTGAATGATATAGCAGAAATCCCATGTAAAGTTAACTGCAAGCGTTTAGTTTTCATAGTGAGATGTGAATCGTGATATGAAAGAACCACAATCATATAAGTTCCATACTTATTTATTCCTAATGTTTCAATGTCATCTCACTTTCATCAGAATGATTTGATGACACCTTATCCATTGGAATCAAAACGTGTTTCAAGAATAACTCTGGCTTATTTCGAGGATATAAAGTAAGTGTTACATGTCGAAATGAGATTAATTAACTCGTGATAGACTTCACAAATGTTTATATGGAAGATACCTAATATGACGTTATATAGTTAAGACGTACTAAAACGCCTTATTTACTCCTGCACCTGTCTTCCTTAGACATGAATCAATATAAACTGAAGTAGCACTGAAGTAGTTTTATGAATAAAGCTTCATTGGTGTTCCTGTCCTTATTTAGAATCAAAGAGACAAGTTGTGTGGCGGTCTGTGAGTCTACATGAGACCTTGCACTTCAAGCTACGTTTGTAGCAGACGTATCTGAGGCATTTAAAGCAATATAACATTATCTGTAAAACTGTTTCTTTCGAAAACGGTTACAGTAACAACGGGATAAATCGATTAATTAAACGTTGAAATGATCTAAATTTCAAACGTTGATATAATTTCAAATGTAATTTTCACATATGATGGCTTCACTTTACTCGGCATGCACCCTTTGTATAACCACTTTTTCTAATAATGACAAATATTCGTATAACTAGTTAATTGCTTTCATACTCCAGAATGGCAGTACGCCGAAGTGGAATTGATGATTGTTCACAGGGCAAAATTCTTACATTTATTTAAAGTTACGTAATATTGGAATACGCTGACACTGGAGTATCCTTCATCACGTGTGACAATGACGAAGCAATCATCTGTTTTAGTTGAGACTTCTATTCTCAGAAGCTAATCGCAATTACAGTTGTATAGTTTCAGAAGGTCGGATCATCAAAAAGCGAATTTTCTGAGCTGTTATTTATTCTAACTCTTTGATGACTCAATAGGTTTCTATCGTGGATTGGTCAATAAATGTCTGAAAAATATAGTACCAACGGTAATAAGGGAACCGACGAATACTTCAACTTGTACAGTGTAGAGTACCATTATATTACGGTCAAGCCATAAAGCGATACTTCCATATTTGAATAATTTTCTCTAAATACCTTTCAAGTTTGAAATTCATTTGTGCTTGTTAGTCATGCTTAGTTACACAACAATCGGTCAAACTCATTGGAAGTATCTCACTATTTCTCCTTAAATATGATGTTAGTAGTCTAGATTTACAACACTTGCAGTCTTCACGTCCTCTGACCTCACAACCTGTATTGAAAAATAAAAGAGTAAGCTAAATTGATTTCAAATAACAAATCAATATTCAAAATATCATCACACCACAATCCCTCGTAATCACAGTCTTATTCAATCTATTTCGCTCACTAAAGCATGTACGATGTCGACTATTCTATGGCGGATGATTTCAAATGGGGAAAAGGATTGGGTTGTGATTTCGTGTTGAAGAGCTGTTATGAATACATCAAGGACAGAAAAAGCAGGTAAAATAGACACATTCTGTGTTTATGCTTGAACTTTTTTAAATTTATATTGAGCAACTAAAAAATTGCCTCAACGCTTCACAAGTATGAGTAACAGTTGAACCATATGAACGGCATATGATCTCGATCTCGTTATCAGTTATGTTTACATTTTTCAACACACACAGTCCAGCAATTATAATCTTCAACTCAGCTGTAAACGTTGCTGATTTGTTACACTTTGTAATAAAAATTTATCATTTGTTTCATGATGGAGTGATTCAATGTGGAAAAGCTTCAAGTTGAGGAACAGTTATCTAGATAATACATTTACTTAAAATGTCAGATCCAGATCACAAAATCTCAGTGTTCTTGACGAGAACATACCTCAACTTCAAAATGTCACGAGAAGAGTGAGAATCTTCAACTATGTAACATGTTGAAGCGTTTATATTCATTAGTCATAACTATTTTCAATAGGATTTGTATTCTCCCTTGGTTGATTCTGAACCTGGTTTTTGACATATGTCCGTCAGTGTGTATCATAATAGTCACCATACTTGTTCGACATACTAATGTCTACCTGGATTGAGAATCCCCCTGAAATACACGTCCACATTTGAATCTGAAGTCACGAAGATCAGTCTGAGAGTGAGCAACTAAGCAAGGATGTAGGTATAGCATCATCTACACAAAATAATTTGTCATCATTCTTGATTTATCTACGTGATGACGTAAGTAGATATAATTGCTGTTAACTTAATGTGGTAAATGTTCATTTCAATGAACATTAAATCCTTCTTTTCTCAGAGGACAAGATATTGAGCCCTACTGTGATATTCCGAACGAACCAAAATGCGCCGGTTATGAAAACGGGATTGGTGGTTGCCTTCTATATGAACACGGCAAACAATTAAACGAAACGTTTCAGTATATGGATAATTTGTTCCCTTTTACTGCCAAACAAAAAGAGAAATATGGTGGCCATATGGCTTTTGACTACTGTCCAGTCCTCATAGTAAGTCACACTATTTTACAGTCGTATGACAATTTTGTGCTAAACAAGTGTGTTGATCAGACAACCAATGTGATATTGTGATAGGTACCAAACCACTCTCGTCGTGCATTTGACATTCTTTAGGTAGTTTTGCAAGTAATTAGTCTGAAATGGAGTTGGTCACCTAAATGATGATCTGGTACAAGGCACCTGGAATTTTTACATGAGATGAACCGCGTAATCAGATATGGTTCGTGAATATATCACTTCACTGGTACTTAGTAATTATTTTAACTAAGAGATGCATGTATTCGTATGTTCTTTAATACAGTGATACGCAAAGGTGTCTGTTGTAAATAATTTTATTTCTGATTCCTTGAGATTTTACAGCCATTCACAGTTCCGTTATCTCTAAAACAATATTTAAATAAATTATTATTTCAGTCACCGAATCTGTTCTGCTTGAGAAGTATTGTGAAGTAATAAGATGATCTTATCGCTTTTCAGGAAATCATGCGAAAGCTTGTTCGTCTACTTTCAGAGATAATCATCATTATTTTCATCATGATCATCATAAAACACTGAATATCCTATCAATGATTTCTGACGGAAACAGATTTCGATAATGTCTCTGTATTCCTATTCTAAATCATTCAGTCATATGGATTAAAATTTTCTTGAGACGATAGTGAACTTTGGATACTTCATACAGACTATAGTTGCTGTTTTTTTAAAACCATCCCATTTAGATTCAGCCAGGTGTAAATGGTAGTTCACTCCTGTGCGAGCACAAAGATGATTTAAAAACAGGTTTGTTAATAGAAATATTTTGTTCGTTCACCTATTTGAATATTTATATTGATATTTCATGGTAAATCAATAATTAGTGTGTTACACTGAGATGCGTGCTACTTACATGGACATGAGAAGTGGATAACGCGAGTCAGGAATATAATGTCTAGCAGAAGAAGATTGAGAAGATCAGGAAGGTAAGAACGAGGACAGAAAGCAGTAGGTATGGGAATACAGGAACAGTGAAGTTTGAGACGAATGACTGATATTTGCAAAAGGTGAAGTCAAGTTTGACACGATTGATATTCCGCAAAAGAAATATTGACTGTATGGTTTTCAGATTTTACTAAGTAATTCTGTAAATCTTGACCAAAGTACTTTCGATTGCCCCAACTGATGTTCTCGTTGACTGTGACACTTTTACAGGATCTGTCACACTTTATCCCAAATAAACTCTCGTAAAATTGAGAAGATTGTCGAAATAAATGATACTTGTACTCCCTTAGTTGATAACAATCAAAACATCATGTTAATCGTCACATATTACTTTGGCGTTGTAGTCAACTGCTTACTAAAAAGTCTTATGGCCAGTGCAAGTGAATAATAGACTCATGTCTTTTGTATATGTAGATTTCTGATATTTCTAGTTGGACACACAATTCTTATGCTGGAAAAGTAATGATTAAGAGAAATAAATGGATTGTATGATTGTATTATGAAAACATGTTGATATCATGAACTGAAGTAAACTTTCATCTTGTCAGAATATATACGTGGGTAGTATGTTAATCTATGATGGTAAAACAAATTAGATCTCTACAAATTTACTGTTATATTAAATATACATATATATGTGATTATTAATTTTCTACAGATTCAATGCTAAACATGTTTATGGAATTTAGGGGTCCTAATTCAGGTTGTTTTAATGATGAAACACAAACATATGTTAACAAATCTGGAACTTACACTATAAAGAAGAAATCATCTTGTCATAAAGTAAGTCAATATTAGAGTAAAATAGAATTCGTGTTGTTATGACTTGAAGTTGAGGGTTCAAAATTTTTCTTCACCCCGTCGCCAATTGTTGTGACTTGAACTTGGATCGACTTTTACCCCGTGTCAATCGTTGCGTCCTTGACTGAAAAGACTGGAGAGCAGTGTGTTATCGATCGGACCAAAGACGCGTATAACACGTAAGAACGAACTGCAGTTCTGTTTGGTCCCGCTTTCCTGTCTAGCCCAGTCAGTTGAGTCCAAAACGCAGGTCTTAGCCTCTGAGATATGAATCACTATATTTCAGACATACTCTGTTTATATACCAAACAACCAGACCACATCGTACCATAAAATATAAAACAACATTTGTACAATATTTGACAAGTGAAATAAATATTGACCAATAGGAAATGTCCACTCAAAGTCCAAGGACACCATTAGACTTAACATGATAATTATTGGTATGTTCCTCTGCACGCCTAACACATGTGCTCGATGATATTTATGTGTAACACAAGGAAATAAGATTGTGAAGAAGTAGAGAAGAGAAGGTAATCGTATTGAAAAATGAACAACAGATAGATAAAAATAAGTAGATGAGGGTTGACAGTTGTCAGAAAATGAATTAAATCAAATAGAATTCTTTTATTTGAATAAGATCCTCTCACTTATATAAGTAGGAAAAGAAAACTACAATCGGGCCACTACACCTAATTTTCTAAGTCATGTCTGATAACAATCACAGAGGCTGAAATTCACCATCTGTGGGACGTTAACCGGAGTGTCATGAGGGACCAACAGCAAACAATCCTAAACAAATTTTCATGCCACCACAAAATGTCATGGACTGACCACCACTCAGCGTCTGTAAATAATGCACGATGTTAAGTTATGTAGAACAACATTCATAGTACACGTTCAAGACATTAGAGTCGGTGTATCAAGATGGTGATGCGAATTGGACTGCTTTGCCTAAACGCACATTGCCAATCCATCACGTTACTGACGTACTGTTCAAACTGTGTTCCGTCAGTAACAATTAGGATCAAACATAGAGAGTCGTCTTTATTCACTTTGAAGGTGCAAAGCATATCCTATACCAACTGACACTAATTGCCGACTAGTTACATTAGGATCAGATGAATTAAGTAGCACAACACAACAAGACATTATCATCCCATTTCTCAAGGTCGTGCAGCTTTTTCCCAGGTAACAGAGTCAGATCGTTATTATCTGCTTCCAACAGAGCTCATTACAGAACGTCATCAACGGTAAATTTGAAGAGAGTTGATGAGATAATGGAATGAGGACAACCATAGGTTCATTTTTAACACATTGGAATGATATTTAATTTCTTAAGTTTTGATATAGTTCCTGTCTGTTTCACCAGCCATTGAGTACAGGATTGTCTAAATTGTATTCAGTGGTTAGGAGGTCGGGGAATCCGTTCATTAATGAAATCAAATCTTTGACAAAATTTTAGTCAAACATTATTGATAAGCGTCCGATTATCCTGACAGATTGTCTCATTCAACATAATTTCTTTTGTCGGTGGCTCACATAATTTGATAGGGCCTTAAGCAGTTAAGAGATACAGCTCGTGCTTCCAACTCGTAAGCATCCTCTGACTAATAAGCGACTCAATTTGACGTGAACGTTGCACCATTTTTCATAGTAAAAATCTACATTTATTGTCAAGCTTGTGATCAGCTGGGTTAAACCGATGCCAAGGAGACCGGCGAAACCTATTGCATATAGATGGGACTTTTCGCGAACCAATGCTGACATATGTTTTCCGATGGATCGATAGCCTCTATTGGATTATCTTAAACTGCTTAAATCCCGATAGTAATAGCAACAGACGGTAAAAATAATAAACACAATAATTCTATGTCTACCTGCTGAGTTCAATTATCGTCAACACTTTTCTAAAACGTAGAGACAAATTAACTGTTGAATAATACAAAATGCTTAAAATTAAAATGGTGTACATATTCCTATGTGAAAATTCCGTCTGTTAACTGGTGTGGTTTAGATTTTTTCTCAAATAGTTAGACAGACATTTTCTTAGAAACTGATTCCTAATGCTGTTTTTTTACTAATTATCTACTGATTGTTCCTTAACTTGATTGCAAAAACTGTCAGTTCCAATGTTCAAAAAATATTGGTGTTCAAGTGATATTTAACGAAAAGGCATTTCAGTGTCCTGTTGGTGGTGGTCCACTACATATGGAGCAACAATTGGGAAGTGGAAATGCTTTCATCGATATACAATGTCCAAAGTGCACGTCATTGTGTAAGGTTAGTCGAAGTGATTTATAACTGTTCGTCAAATCAAGTATACTAATAAAAACCAATAAATCATGCTACTCTGATCACACAGTTTTAGATTTAAAATTTGTTTCGTGATGAGGTGAGAAATTAAATGAAGTAAGTTTGTACAGCGTAGCGTGATTAGTGGTGAAAATCTGTAGAGAGTGAATATCCGTTTGAAGTGTAAGGGAATTTAACATAAACATTACCAGTTGTTCAAATGTATCTGACCAAACGATGAAACAGACTTTTAAGTGGAATTGGATGATAATCAAGAACATATAGAAAAGTGATTCTGTTTCGTCTCTGATGTCAGTATGTATGTTTATTCTGTTCTACTTATATCATGTGTAATCATAGTAAAGTATATAGTGTGTTGTCAGTATTTATTCGATTCAAATCGATGAATGGCGTTCGACTGCATTTAATGATGATTGTGTTGGTGTAATATTTGTTCAGTTGAACAGTCACAAAACTCATACAGTAAATTGTGTTGCGTGCTATAATTCTCACCCATACCTTAAGCATCATATATGCCTTTTCAGCAATAGAACTTCAGAATATTATTCAAAAGCATTGACAAAACATTATCATTAAACTGGGTTTTCGTGGATACTGTAGTGATGTTAATAGTTAAAACTGTCGATGAATTTGATCAAGAACATCAGTGAAAACCTAGTGACACTGAATGGCCTTTCCTCTCTATTATCAACAGTGCGAATCCACGACTCTTCACGTAAGACTTGTATCCAGGAGCTTCAGTCTCACTTGCGAACGCTCATTCTCTTGACCACAAGGCCGGTATTCAACAGTGTTAGTGTCTAACTTCAACCATTCCATGACATCGCGTGGTTATCCATCGTTGTCTTTAGTGAGCGACGGCCTCAAAAAAGAGAGGCTGAAATTCAAAGACCACGGTTTCCTTCAGGAACTCCAGGAAGTCGATCTTGACCTTAGTTACTAGTGAGGACATGATAACTATCAGTATAGGGCTGTGCAGATCGTTGAGTTACAATCGCTGTCATGAATAGAGGAGTCCCATACTGAAACGAAACAGCCGTCCAGCACCAACAGGATTTCAGTGGTGGTCTAGCCTACATCGACTCATAAATTCAACTTATAAAAACAATACTTATCAATTGATTTGAGACCATCAACAAGTTTGCGTGTTAAACTCCTGAAAATATGACAGACCTTTAATTCACATAGGTGTTATTTAAACAACGGAACAATGGCCACATATGCGGGTGAGATTTTGACCATCGAAATTCGGTGCAAATAACGATCAATAATGATCAAATAATCACAAAGAGTTTGTTTGGAAATGATTAGTAGAGTTATTTCAAATTCACGTGTATAATTTGCATAGTCTTTAAAAGGAAAACATAAAGCTTTCTAAATTGCTGAGTAACGTGATTATAATATCAACACGCGGGCCTCTTATCAAATATAAACAGCGTTGAGCATCATGTGTGGCCGTCACAAATGCGATAAAACTAGTGCCTTGATAGGGTTTGAGTTTGTCTTACCACATACAGTGAACGAGTGATTCACTGACGTGGATTTCTCAAGCGTGCCATAAAGGCCTTCCGAATTTCATTGACTTTATTAGATCAGACGTTGAACAAAATTAATTCAAGCTAACAATGAGTAGATGTTGACCTATTCACAGTTTTACCAATACTGCATTTTCTCTCTTACACTTGATTTTATATTCAAGAACAGATGACATTGTTATTTCTCAACCTTCCTCTCATCTTCGTCAGGCTGTGCAAGTGTATTCCCATTGTAGCAAACCTGTAAACAGATTAGACTGTAGACATGTTCGTTCAAACATCACTACTGAGTAACGTGTCTTAAATGAGAATAATGTTTTAAGCCTGTGAAATAGGATTTATAATCCCTTACTCCTTCAACATTCACGCGCACTCTTTACACACGTTATTTCAGCCAGTCAATGAAATGTATATTGAGGAGAGCGGAAACAAATATTTCGGCAGAATAATAGGAGACCACTTTATTTTGTTTGGTTCTCGTCAGTTGCTTACAACGTGTGATAATAAGGAACCTTAAATGCAAAACGGATCTAAGTTACTTACGTCAGAGTAATAAGTTTGACGTATTTCTGAAGACAAACCAGCATGTTATAGCGAGCGTGGTAGCCCATCTCACCGAGCTTGTAGAAGCTTTCAGATGAGGAAGACCAAATATTTCCCTAGACACATTTTCCACTGTGAAATTAGGCGGGACTATAATTTATAGACGAACCAATCTGGTATAGAATAACGGGTCTCGGACTTTGGCGCGAAATTCATTCATCTATTTGGCAAAATAAAATCTTGGCATTATAGTTTATGTCAGTTCGTGATGAAATCCATAAATCTAATTGCTGACGCTAACCGTCAACCGTAAATCACAATTCTAATTCCCCACGCTGGTTTATCACCCTCATTTAATTCTAGTTATTGGGTGGACATTCTCAAGGTCACTTGAGAGTCACTCAGAAGTAGTCCATAAATCATAGTCTCACCTGAAAGTGTCAATCATTTTCTTAGATAAAGTTACTCAAATAGGGATTCATGAACCGCTCAGTGTATTACATACATATTTCTATTTTGCACGGTTCATGTCAAAATATTTCAGTCAGTAGTTATTTAGCGACAGTTCAATAACCGAGTTTATTCATG